CTTAAATTAGGTGGTCTATATTTGACATTATCCTAGATTTTTTTTTTTTTTTTAAAGTGGTTGTCGTAGTACGAACGGCGGTTTGGAGGATGTATGGATTGAAGGGAATTTAGTGATAAAAAATTAGTTACAATCGGTGATTTCACTTGTTTTAGACCTATTGCAGAATCATTAAATATAATATTTGTTTTGAATAAAAATTTATCATAAATAATATTTAGTATTTGTGACTAACAATTTGTCGTCACAATTACTAATTTTACAATAGTCATTTTTATTGTCATAAGCTTGAATTGTATATGGGATTGTTTTCAATAACAAAATATAGTTACAAATTTATTTTATTAAATATTAAGCATATGAGTATTTGTGATTAGTATTTGATATCTATTATAATTGCAATTGTTGTAGGTTTTTTTTTTTTTTTTTTAACAGTAAAAATTAACATTTATTAATAACCGGAGTATAAGGGTTCACCCCAAACCCATACATCATACTTGACAAGTATCAAATTAAATGGTTTGGCCGTCTGCCATATAGTGTTGCCACCCAAAATATGTGTCAACACCACGTCCGTGTTGGAGTTTTGGATGCTGACCATATGGTGTCGACACCAAAAGAACGTGTCGACACTATACCCGTGTCAAGCTTCTGTCCACTTTTGCAGTTTCTTCATAAATCACTGTTCAGATTCACAAAACCTTCCCATTTGTCAAACCCACTGGCACGCAAAGTCATTGAGCATGCATTGATTATAACTTAAATAACCCCATAGATCAAGAACAACACTATAGTCAATTAAATTCTCAATGAAACCTTCCTGAACCATTTGTGACTTTCAAACAAACAATAGGATTAATTAGCCAATCAGTTAAACTGAAGGCATACCTGTCATTTGTTGCTTTAATCCATAGGAAGGATCTTAGTTGAATGAGTTCAAATAGTTTCCCCAGGTTTATCTCTTTATCTTGAAATATTTTCTGGTCTCGAGACGGCCATATGGACCAAATAACAGTATTCCATATACAGTTCCATCCTTCTCTAGTGTGTTTATTCTTGGTCCATGCTCCAAAATTTTGAAAAGTGTTCCTGCAATTTGTTCCGAATGATATCTTAGCTCCCCACCATTTAGCACAAGCTTTCCATATCCAATGAGCACACTTGCAATTTAAAAATAGATGCCCAGCATTCTCATCGGCTTCTCCACATATAGCGCACCTTCCTTCCTCCATGTCCTTAGTAATCCCTCTTCTTAACAAATTCATCCTTGTTGGAATTCTGTCTAGCACCAATTGCCAATTGAATGCTGAAACTTTGCTTGGAAATAGAGGGTTCCATATTCTTCTAAAGATTTCAGTTCCCCTTGATCCTCTTTGCTCTTGTGTCAACAATGAGTAAGCCGTCTTTGTTGAATAATGACCATCCTCGTCGTGAACCCACTCCCACGCATCAGGCTTTCCTTGTGAAATCTTCACATCCGTTATCATCCTTTGGAGTTGTTTGGCCTCTTCAGCTTCCCAATTGAACAATTTTCTCCTCCATACTAGATTCCACTCCCATGATCCATTTATGTTTTTGCCCATTTGATTGCACGTACTCTCCTTTCCTGTTGATAAAGTATACAATCTAGGGAATTTGTTAGCAAGACACCCTTCTCCCCCCCAATCATCTCGCCAGAAGCTTACCCTATTACCCTCCCCTATGCTAATCCTAAAACCTTCGGTCAACCATCCCACATTTTCCCTATCCACTGTATTAAGGCTACACACATCCCTCCACCATATTGAGCTTGCTGCCCTGTGTTCTTTATCCCAATCCTGCCAATGACCACCTCCTTTACCATACTTCTCAATAATTATGCTCTTCCACAAACCCTCTTTGTTTTCTGCTAATCTCCCCCACCATTTACCCATCAAAGTCAAGTTAAACTTCCTCAAGTCTCTCACTCCCAGCCAAGGTTTTGAAAATCGGATCGGACCGGCTGGTTGAACCGGTTGAACCGGTACCCTTATAGTATAAACGGTTCGATTCTATTTTTTAAACCGTTTGAAGATCAAACCATTTGAAAACCGATAAAAACCGTTAGAACCACTCAAACCGAAAAACCATTTGACTGGACGGTTCAGTGCTTAAGAACAAAAGCTTGAGAAATTTGTCCCCCGTGAAACTTGAACTTGCAACCTTGGAAGTCCTTTTAGTTTATTCCAACCCTTTGCCACCAGGACAATGCACTCCGTTCGTCAATGATTGCTTGAAATTTCATTTAGTCTATTTTTAAAATCATAATTATTTAAAGTTTGTTCATAAGGGTACTCGAACCTGTGATCTTTGGTATGAGAAAGCAATCACCTACCATCGCACTCAATGGATATCTTGTTAAATACTTTACAAAATAATATATTTATACTATATTAATGAACTGGTGGTTTTATCGGTTAAACTGGTTAAATCGATCAAACCGTGAACCGAAGGTCAAAACGGTTTGACCTCCGGTTCGGGTTTTAAAACATTGCTCCCAGCCCTCTTTCCTCTTTTTTTCTACACACCTTTTTCCAGCTTACCCAATTTATTTTTCTCTCCTCTGCCCCCCTTCCCCATAAAAAACTTTTACGAATTTTATCTATGAAAAGAAGTATACCTTTTGGGATGACGTAGGTTGACATCAAGAACACAGGCAGACTAGATAGCATTGAATTTATGAGCGTGATGCGACCTCCCATAGAAAGATGCCTTCCCTTCCAGCTAGTTAACTTCCTTTTAAAAGAGTCAACCATTGGCTGCCACATTGCTACTCTTCTATTATTTCCACCAATAGGGATTCCCAAGTATTTAAATGGGAAATCCCCTTCTTTACAACAAAGTCTGTATGCCATTTCAACTCTCCAGCTTTCCTCTATCCCCACCCCCATCAATTGGCTCTTCGCGAAATTGATCTTCAAACCTGAGACCATTTCAAAGGTCCTCATAAGCCTTTAATAATCTCGATGTTGTTCTCAGATGCTTCCCCAAAGAATATAGTATCATCCGCAAATTATAAGTGTGAGACCATCACCTCTCCACAACCTACCGTGACACCCTTGTACAATTTTTTCTCCACTACAGAGGACACTAGTCCACTCAACCCCTCTGCAACGATCAAGAATAGAAAAGGGGACAATGGGTCACCTTGTCGTATGCCTTTGCTGACCGGGAACTGTTTCGTCGGACTTCCATTTATGAGAACAGAAACCGAGCTTGACGATAGGCATTCATGTATCCATCTTCTCTAGATTCCATTAAACCCCATCCTCATCATCATATAATTAACAAAATCCCAACACACCTTATCATATGCTTTCTCAAAGTCAACTTTGAAGAGGAGGCATCTTTTCTTCCTTCTTTTAACTTCATCTATAATCTCATTTGCAATCACAACTCCATCCACAAGTTGTCTCCCCTCTATAAACGCCATCTGCTGATCCCTGATTACCTTGGGTAGCACCTTTTGTAATCGATTTGCTAGTAGTTTTGCAATGATTTTATACATGACCCCAATGAGTGATATGGGTCTATATTGCAATTGTTGTAGTGATAACTTTTATTATTAGAAACTTATATTCTCTTTATTATTATTTTTTTAGTGACAAAATATAATTTTAATAACAATTTATGTTATCATTATAGTACATGTGGATATTTATGACCAATATTTAAAATTTATCACAATTACGATAAGTTATAATGATGATTTTTATCATCACAAGTCTGTGTTCTCTTTATTATTATTTTTCAGTGATGAGTATCTTTTTAGTGATTAATTTTTTTGTCATCTTTGAACATGTGCATATCTATGACCAATTTTTAATTATAATTATAAGTTTATATTCTCTTTATGATTATTTTTTTAGTGATGAAATATAATTTTAATAACAATTTATTTTATTATTATAGTCCATGTGGGTATTTATGACTAATATTTAAAATTTATCACAATTACAATAAATTGTAGTGATGATTTTTATCATCACAAGTCTGTGTTTTCTTTATGATTATTTTTCAGTGATGAAATATTTTTTTAATGATTAATTTTTTTTGTCAACTTTGAACATGTGCATATCTATGACCAATTTTTAAAATTTATCACAATTGTAATAAATTATAATGATAATTTTAATATTCATCACAAATTTTTATCACTAAAAGTCATTTTTCTCATGGTGCATCCACAATTTTCTTCATTCACATTCTGGATAGCCTCATGATACTATGTCTGCATGTACCTTAGATGTCCTTTTCCTTCTGATGTTACCCACCCTTCTTCGTTCATTTATTTAAGCAGCCACACCTTGGAGGCCTCAACAGCAAGGCTCTCAGCTCTTAATGTGTAAGCAAGCACTATGAGTTTTCTCACCCACTTGTACTATTTCGTTGTTTTTGATTGTTTCCTACAATCTCAATATATATCTTTCCTCTTTCTTGTTTTCTTTGCAGATTCTTCATTCTACTATCCCATATATTTGCCGATTCTTGTTTCAATCTGACATAATGTCTGCTGCATCTTCAGTAGGTAATCTGTCTTTGGGTGTGTTTGGTTTGGTCTTCAAATCAGCGGACTTCAAATTGTTATGTAATAAATATCAACTAACAGTTCTTTCTAACAGATAAATCAAATAGAGCCTAAAGCACTTACAAGTACATAATTTAAATAAAAAAATTCCTGAATTCTCACCGATGTGAGTTTTAATTTGGTGTCTAATTTTCTTTTGGTTTCCTATTATGTAGAAGAAGCCCTGAAAATGGAAAGAGCGGAAGATAATGGAAAACGCATGGCAGCTGCACTGGATCAATTGCTGACATCTTCCAACGAACCCACAGTATCCGGGGAGAGTAGCATTTTCAGAATCCCAAGCATTCTCTCCAAGCATAACAAGGAGGCTTATCTTCCTAATGCATTCTCCTTTGGGCCTTGGCACCATGACGAATGCAATCTTCAACCCACAAAAGCGCTGAAAATCAACTATCTTAATGGTCTCCTCGGTCGTTTTCCAGATCGAAGTGCAAAGCTGCTAGAGTTGGTATGTGCTGTCCGTAATAAAAATGATCTGGCTCGTCAGTCTTACGCTGGAAAGATTAGTCTCAGTGATGATGAATTAGTGAAGATTTTGGTGCTTGATGGTTGCTTTATCACTGAGTTCTTTCTCAAGAATTCCAACGCCGAAGGTAGAGATCCACATGATCCTATATTCACCAAGCCCTGGATGATCCAGTCTCTTTACCTTGACTTGATTTTACTGGAAAACCAAATACCTTGGTTTGTGCTGCAGGATATTTTCAACCTTACCAATGAGAGAACAAGA